GAAAAAAGAATGAGAAGAAGTCCAATAAAGCCCCAGAAAAAGTCATGAAGGAAAAGACTGAGATTTAAGTAAAAATATTTAAATTTTTGTATGCAAAAGTCACAAAATTCAAAGGTGTTAAGAAATCATGGGGCTGGGATTGTGGCTCAGCGATAGAGAGCTCACCTGAGCACATTCGAGGTCCTGGGTTTGATCCTCAGCACCACATAAAAATAAGTAAATAAAATAAAGGTATGGTGTCCATCTACAACTAAAAAATACTTAAAAAAATAAATCATGAGTCAAAATATAGTAACCAAATGTTTACTATATAAAGAACTGAAATTTTAATAAGAGAAACTATGTATAGTACTTTGAATAGCTGCAACAATGCTGTTTTTCTAAGTCCTTAAACTCAGCTTGCTCACAGGTCAGTGGGGTCAGTGGAGGGGTTTGGCAGTGTGTAACCAGGCTCCACAGGGCTTGGCTCCAAACTGCAGGTTGATTTAGGTCTTCTTAGTGTTTCTCCATTTGGAAACCAACCTAAAGGGGAAGCAGCTACTCAGGTTATTTACAAGCTTTTGATGCGGTAAATAGGACAATAGGACACAAGTTATGCTCTCATTTATTTCACTGAAATTACCTTGTCATAAAATGCTAAAGCAGATGGTTCATAAGATACCTGGAGGAAGAGAACAAACATGAAGTTCTTAAATATTGGTGATTTTACACTAGACAGAAGGCATAACATAAACTTTTTTGACTGGAGGTTCATTTGCGGGACTCAATAAAGCCTGTTTATAACAATATACTTGCAAGGAAATAAATAATAAATAATTGGCAAAGAGGAAAAGAAGCAGAATAATAAGGGAAGAAAATGGGGAGGGTGAGTCTAATAGGGTATGGAGCAGTGAGAACCAACAACAGCTGCCTTGACTGCTTGCTGTGGGAGGGTTCCCAAAAAGGAAGGAGAGTAAAAATGAGCATTAAATTTAGCCAAAAGAGGAGTTTTTATTGCTGTGGGGCTCAGTGAAATGGAGATAGCAAATCATCATCTGTCATAGTGATATGGGTTTTATATCAAGTAAACAGACTGGCTTTGGGCTCCCTGCCCTTAGAGGTTGGCATGAGACCCAGGTTGATGGGTTTGGTAATGGGAGATTTATGCCATTCGGGTGATGTGTGATAAGATATAGGCCCTGAAAGCGGCTATTAACACTGATTAACTCAAAAGTTGACCACCAGCACACACAGCCATTGTTTCCTCCAGCACTCTTTAGTGATGGGCTTTGGCTGGCTGGCTTCACAAGAGACAAATGCCATTACAGGAGACCAAATAACCTCATTTAGGCAGTTGTCAGATAATAGAGACGCTCTAGGTCTTAGCCTGACTGCATTAGTTTGATTTGTTACTACTATTCACCTTGTCCTGGGCATTAATGGAGACAAAGGCCTGGAATTACCAGGAGCAGAGATAAACTATGGATTAGAGCCTGTGGGTTTTGAGGGAAAGAGAATTCTATCTTAGATTTTTATTTCCATTTTCATTTTGCTTGATTTTTCATCAAAGTTAAAGTCCAGTTTTTCCCCAAATATCATATTCTTTCCAAATTACTACCAATTGTAATTCCAAAAAAATGTTACTGATTCATTATCTCCTTTAATAAGGTCAATCTTAACTTATAGGATTTTGTTTTACTTTTTTATACTGAGGATTGAATCCAGGGGCACTTTATCACTGACCTACATCCCCAGTTCTTTTTCATTTTTAATAATTCATTTATTATTGAATTTTGAGACAGGGTCCTGATATATATTTAATATTTATTTTTTAGTTTTAAGTGGACACAATATCTTTATTTTATTTTTATGTGGTGCTGAGAATCGAACCCAGTGCCTCACACATGCCAGGTGAGTGCGCTACCATCCCCAGCCCAGGGTCCTGATACATTGCTGAGGCTAGCTTCGAACTTGTGATCCTTCTACCTCAGCCTTCCTACTCGCAGAAATTATAGGCGCGTATCACTCTGTCCAGCCCTTTTAGGTTTTTGAAAATGATTTTAGGGGAAATACAGTAGTAATCTTATATATTATCTTGCTTCTTTAATATTCTTATATATGGTGAATCTGCTTCATAAAAGTTGAACTAAAACTGATATTGTTATTAGTATTAGAAAAAAATAAAAGGATGTGCACATTACATTTATAGTTACTCCTTTAATATTATAAATTCTGGTGTTACATTAACTTTTTCTTACTTTTAAATAAATGTTTCAGTTATAAAGGTGTTATTGCTATTATCAGTTATATACATATCTTTAGTTATAAACACAATTTATTTCTGCTATAAGTAAACACTTTATTTATAAATAAATGGACTTGAATTTTAGGATTACCCAAATCAGTTACATAAAATTGTTGCTGGAAAATACTGAGATAATAATATTCTGGAGCTACTCTGTTTCTTTAGTCACCAGACTTTTTACAAATATGATAAATGTTATGATTAAATTAGGTGTTAGTTGATCAATGTAATATTATTACATTTCTTCTAGATTTTATATAGTTTTATACAGAATCCGTATACTCTTCAGATCCTAGACAAACTAATTTCTCTTTGAAAATCCCAATTTATAAAAAGCACTACTTCAAAAAATGTGCAATAGTTTTGTTTTGTTTTTGGTACTGGGGATTGAACTCAGGGGCACTTGACTACTGAGCCACATCCTCAGCCCTATTTTGTGTTTTATTTAGAGACAGGGTCTCACCATTGCTGATGCTGGCTTTAAACTCTTGATTCTCCTGTCTCATTCCTCCTGGGCATGCACCACCACACGCAGCATGGAATAGTTTCTTGTTCTGTGCAATATTTGAAATGTTATTCTAAACTCCTCAGATATTAAGGAGAAAAAGCTGTAATTCTGACATAGCAAGGTATCAGAAAGATGCAGAACAAATTGTAAAGTATGATCACATCTAGAAAAAGAACAGCAAAAACAACAAATGTGTGAGTGTATAAATATACACATAGATGCTTTTATGATACACAAAAAGACCTTTGAAAACATTTAATGATGGTTATGTGAAGGATGAGGTTTGAGGGAGATTCTATACTGCTTAAATTGTTTTCAGTATATAAAACGTGATTTGGAGAATTAAATAAAAATTTATATTACATGACACATTTCTCTCCAACCCATTTCCCCAAGACCTACTCCTGGTGATTTCTAGTATTCCAACTTAATCAAATTTCATTGGAACCTAATGGGGACCAAAGAAGTTTCCCTGAGGAAAAATTTTGACTAATACCAATAATGAAAACAGCTCCTTCTATTGGAAAAAGTGGCCCAGACTACCTTGGAAGATATTTATATGTAACACCTCTTGTCTCCCTGCTATTCTTCGTTTCCTCCTCCTTCCCTGTCTCACAATAGAACAGAATAAGCACTTTATTGCTGACCAGTTGTTGGGACGCAGAGCTCTGTACTCCAAATGTGTGCTTAATAAGTGATTTTAAAAGTTCTAAAATTGGGATCATGCTGCTTTCCTCAGACATAATAGACAAACTTCCTCAAATTAAAAAAATACATTTTTCTCTCTCTCTCCATATCTCCTAGAAAAAAATGTATAATGGTTACAGATTCAATAATTCCACAAGAACTTTCCACTCTGATCATCATTGGGAGAGAGGAAGGACATTGAGGGAAGAAGGAAAAGGGAAACAAGGGAGAATTCAATTTGAATAGACAAAGTTGAAAATGGCTTTCATTGGACAGAGTGGGAATCCTCAAGCTAATATTAAAACAAAACAAAAACCCCAACAACAATCACCCACCCATTTAGGTCTTCTATTAACTAGAAAACAAACACTCAGATTTCCAGGGAAGAGGATTCCCTTCTTTTCACACATCTCCTCTCCCCATCTTTAAATGGCAGGTACAATGGTAAAATGGGAAATGAAAAGAAAGTGTTTTTTTTCCCATTTAGAAAGTGCCCTGATTTTTTCAGTGACTATGTCAGAGCACATACAAAAGGCAGGCCAGTTATCCTACCTTCTCAGTCAATATAACATTATAACAAAATGTACAACTGATTGGAAATCATTTAACAGGCTATAGATAATAGCCAGATAATCACTGTCACTTAAAGGAATGAACGTAGAGCACAACATTAAATGAACAAGAAGACTTTGAAAATTTTGCATTTGTAGCTTAATTCTTTTGTTCAGTGCACTATCAATGGTGTGAATATGACAGCTGATGCTTTTATATATCTCTGCTTTGACATAATGATTCCCTTTTTAAAAATGTAGCACCTGGCATGTTATAAGGATTTATTTTGATATATGGTGAGAAATTCTCACTGCCGAATCTATAAATCAAGAGAAACTGAAATGAGTGAGACTTAGAGAATCAAAGGTTGTGTTTTCTTTCATATGTGGAAGATACAGAGAGAAAAAGAGGAAAAGGAATATCATAAAAATAGAAGGGAGACCAGCAGGGTAGAGAAAGGAAGTTAGAGGAAGGGAGGAATGGAGGGGCAAGGAGAAATCCTGGGAATTAAATTGGTCAGATTATGTGCATATACAAATATGCCACAATAAAACCCATTATTCTGTAAAATTATTATGCACCAATAAAAAAGACACACATAAGATTCATGAATAAATCATATTTTATAATATGGTTAAGCATAATCATGTTTCAAATGTGTTTGAAGAAAACTAACTGAAGTAGATTGGATTATTTTACTTGAAATACTCTGTAAATGGAATCCAGCTTGTGGAATTAGTCAGGAGTTTACTGATTTTAGCATACTAATTTATCAGATTAACTTTGCTTACTTACAAAATAGCTAGCTTTTCTGAAAATTTTTATTAAAATATATAGGAAAGGTCTTTTATTGTAACTAACAGTGTCCAAATATAATGTGTACCATGCTATAATCATAATTATTTACAATACATTTTGGAAAAAAAGGATAATATTTAGACTAAATGCAGGAAAAAAAACATTACATTTTTAACACTTGATATTTGCATTTATTTCTCATGATCTGCAATTGGAAGATAATTTCACATGTTTAGTTTTCTACCTATTCCAGGAGATTTGTGTTGAAATTTTTTTTCGCCATTAGAAACTGTGATTCTCTATGGGATCTCTTCAGTTTTGCACGCCGATTTTGGAACCAAATCTAAAATTAAGGAAAAATAAGATGGGTCTCAGAAACATTATTTTATTATTATTAATATTTCAATCATCACAAGTAACAACTAAATTTGAAAATTACCTGGATTCTGTCTTCTTCAAGGTTCAATTTTTGAGCTAAGTCTTCTCTGATATCAATGCCAGGATAGCAGTTTACTCTAAAGACATTTTCCAATACTTCAATCTAGAATAAAAAAAAAAATTCTTTAAAATGTTGATATTCCATAAGTCACCAAAATGGGCTTTTAATTTGTATAACAAAATAAATGCCCTCAATCTTTGGGCAACTAATTTAAATACCGCTTTTAAAGTAATTATCCAGAAACTGTTAAAATATGATAGTCTATTGTTTCATTAACAAGGCTTCTAAAACTGTGATCCCAAAGTGAATGAATAGCCTTTTGCTCAAGGGAACAGCAGCTAAAGCCTTTGTATTACCATTAATGGATGAAAACACTTCCCACCTGGTTTTGGGTAAAAGCAGTTCTAGGTCTTCGGCCTCTATACCAACTCAACTCTTTTTTCAAAGATAATCTTTCTGAGGCTGAAAAGTAATTTTCATATTTCAAAGCTCTTTCTTCTGGCATTAGGTGATCCACCATACAAGGAAACGAGATCCCATTGGGAAGACTCGAGCCGTGACATAGGTTAGCATCTTTCTCTAAAATCAGAAAAATAAACCCCATCCAATACTATGTTCCACAAAGTTCTATAAGAAGTAATTTCAGTAACTTGTCTTTAATTTTCTTAGTGGAATCCTGGGTTTCACAAAAGAACTGCCCCCTCATTAACTCAAAAGCCAGAATGAAGATCCTGCCTTGGTGACAGAGAGCATTTTGTATTTTATTATTTATTTTTCAGTGTATATAGGTATAGACTATCTAATGAGTCAAATAAACAAATTTTCTGAAGTAAATGCAGACTTTTAGCATTGCCTGTGAGTGAACTTATACCCACTAAGATCTAAGGCATTTTTATTTCCAATAGGACTCAGATGGAAGCATTACAAGCGCTAGATGCTTCAGCTATATCATGAGTGAAATCATAGTTTCTAACTGTATGCAGTGTGAAATAAAGGACAAACTAAAACTCAAATGAAATTAAATATTAAGTACTGGCATACCTGAGGAGTTGCAGGTGTCTGCCCAGGGCCTGTGAGGTTTCACGGATGGAACACAATCTTTCTTCTGGTCCAGTCCTAAAATGCTCTCAATTGAAAAGGAACAAGGTGAGGGTTTGCTTTCCCTAAGCTGAGCACCTTCCTGAAGGCTGGGAGACATCCTCTCATGGGCTACAGAGCAAAAGCTCTGGTCTTTCTGATGGCTTGGCCCCACGCGTACAGGGCTGGAATCTTCCTGCAGCTCAACTTATAGCTCCGCTGACAAGGGGGCTGGATTTGGAACGTCACTAATTAAAATCTTGTTTTAGAAAGTTTTAGCATGTCAATGAACTCTTGCCCAGCCAGCAGCTTAAGGAGTTAATTGTTTATTCGTTTGCAAGTAATTAGCAACTAATGGCTACACCAGGGGGGCCACCTACAGGGACAAAAAGTGTTATCTCTCCTAAGCAGAACACAGATTTAACTTTCTTGAAAGAAGTGATGCAGGAAAATAGCCCTCCTCTTTTATTTGAAATCATTAATGTATAAAATCATGCTTTATATTCTGAAGTTTATACTTCCATGGACTCCAGTTACTTAAACATACAGGCAAGATAGGAGAGCAGTCAAGTAATAAATAATCTAATTTAAGTGAATTTTCTTCCAAGGAAATTGGAAAAAATAATAATCTCTTAATACTATTACAGTAATTCTGATGAAAATGCCTGTTTTTCATATGCATATGTAATAGTGAATGTTGTCAATGAAAACACAATGGTATTTGGAGTGCAGCATACTGGAAAAGGTTGGCAAAGTTATTAATACTGAGTGTAATTGTCTTCCAAGTGCTTGGATTAATTCATAGGAACAGTTGCACCAAGTATTTTAAATAATTAATGGGCTAATTCCTTTCCTTCATCTCTTCTTTTAAACAAGAGAGATACAAGTTTATACAAAGATTCATATGTTACTACTTCCAAGCAATTTAGAAGCACTACTATTCAAACTAAAGAGAATAATTTCTCTCCCTAACATGGTTGTTTCAAAGAAAAGAACATAGTTAACTGTTCTGTGAGGCTGATGATTGAAACCCAGGGCCAGGGCCTTGTGCATGCTAGGCAAGTGCTTTACCACTGAGCTATTCCCCAGGCCCAGTTAACTATACTTTCTTTAAAAAAAAAAAAAAAAATTCCCTCTTTTCTCTCTTTTGGTGTTGGGGATCAAACCCAAGGCCTAGCATGCTAAGCAGACATTCTACCAGTGAGCTATATTTCTTGCTCTGTTGATCTTTTGAGGGACTGGAGTCAAGAGATTTCAGGAAGATGATAAGGCTTATTAAAAAAAATCAAAAAACAAAAATGTAAGAATAGAATATTTTAATTTCATGATCCCAAGAAAACTTGAAAAGAAAATTATAGCTGCTAATTTGGAAAGATTTTGAGGTGGTTCTTCTCCCAAAAAGGCATAATAGTTAATAATCTTATATTCTGCTCTTCTTCCATTACCTTCTTTTTTAGAGAAAGAGAGAATTTTTTAAATAATTATTTTTTAGTTTTCGGCGGACACATCATTGTTTGTATGTGGTGCTGAGGATCGAACCTGGGCCGCACGCATGACAGGTGAGCACGCTACCCCTTGAGCCACATCCCCAGCCCTTCTAGTACCTTCTTGAAGATAAATTTAAGGGCAGAGCTTAGTCCATCATTTAAAAGACTATCAGACTTTTCTTCAGGAAAGAGAAAAGGCAGTCTTCACTTACAGACGAAATAGCCTCCATAAGATGGGGCTCAACTTCATCAGATTTTATCCTATCATATCACAAATATTAAGCTAAATTCCTTATGCAAGCTGTGGGGTTGAACAAAGGATCTCACACATACAAAACATCAACAGGCACACAGAAGAATGGGTTTATACACATACATGTAAAATCATTCTGAGGATGTATAAACCAGTAAACATCTTGTGAAGATTTTGTATGTGTCTTAAATAGACTGTGCCAAGGTGGGGGTGACCTTAATCTGGGAAGACTTGGAGGAAGAGAGAACTCAAAATTTTCCCAGATTTCTTTCTCTTCTTGAGACATTCATTCATTCCACAACTGGTTGAACAAATTGTACCAGAAAAAAATAGAATAGAATCCTTGCCTTCATTAAATGCGCAATGGTTCTGGGTGGTGTGGGAGCTGGCAGACAGGCAACAAACAATAATTATATGTAAATTGTTTGGTAGGTTAGCCAAGAATAAGCATGAGAAAAGGAAACAGGTGAGCCAGGTAAGATGGATCATTACCAGGAGGTGGAGGGGTCGATGCTTGGGCAGGCTTCACTGAGACCCTCATACCTCAGGTTAGTGCCTCAGAGGAACAAGGCACAAGTAAGATGTAGCGGATGGTAAAGCAACTTCACTTCCTAATTGCTTCTGTATTAACAAGGACATTCCAACATTTTTATTCAGCTTGAACTGATTTTATTTGGAATTAAAACACTCTTTTACATATGAATGAGTAGATAAAAATAAAAGGTCGGAAAGAATTTTTTCTTATATGCTCACAGAATGGATTTTTATAGGGTGCTTAAGATGTGCCAGACACTATTATAGGTGCTTGTGTTCCGTGATGAACACAATATGGTAATTTCAGAGAATGATAAACACATTGAACAGAAGTAAACAAGGTAATGATGAGGGGCAGATGTCTTTAACCATGGTGAGGTGGTCAGTGGCCCAGGAAGGCTTGTTCAAAGAAGTGACATTTTACCTAAAGCTGAGAATGGGAGTGAGCCAGTATGCTAAGAACCTGGAAAAGCACGGCAGCCAGAGGGAATAATAAGTACAAAGGTCTTGCAGTTGAAAAACACTTGGAATATTTGAGGAAGAAAAAGGAAGTAGGTGGAGTGGAGTTAGTAATTCCAGATGCTTTCAGAGAGCTTGGCCAGGCTTAATAATGGATGGGCTTCATGGTGCAAAGGGAAGTCAGGGAGGGTCTGAAGCTGGAAGTGATACATAGGATATATTTTTAAAATCACACACTGGGTCTGGGAGTGTACATAGCTCAGTGATAGAATTCTTTTCCTAGTTTGTGCAATACCTGGGTTTGGTGGCCAGCGCTGAGGAAAAAAAACAAAAAACTTCATTCTGGTTACTATATGGAAAGGCAAGAGGGGAACAAGACTAGAGTTTATTTATCCAACATGTATTTACTGAGCATACATTATGTGCTAGGCAAGGTGTGAAGAGTAGAGTGGTAAAAACAATTGTTTATAGAGGCTAGAGATGATGACCCTTAAATAAAAGGGTAACACTGAGTTTGGAGAGACATGTAATTTATTAAGAAGTTGTAGGATTACTGAATAATTGAGTAACTGGTTCCAATTCTTCAATCCTAATGATATATATATATATATATATATATATATATATATATATATATACACACACACACACACACACACATACATCTCACATCATACACACACACATCATCCTCTTGCTGTGACTTCATGGCACTTAAGTTTTATCTAGAATCTAAAGGAGGGTATTTCAAGAAATATGACCCAGTGTATTGCCAGACCAGAAATGTTCCATTTACTCTTCAATTTCCTTCAAGTCTGGCTGTGTCTCTACCTTTCAAGCTTGCCAAAGTTGCCAGTAACTTCCTTATTAACAAACCTAGTAGATATATTTCTGTCTTCATCAGAACCTCTCAGCAGCATTGACACAGTTTGTCATTCATTTATCCTTTCACCTAATATTAGCTAAGTACTATTTTGAATGTTAAGAAGTAAAGAAAACAGAAATCCTAGAGAGATGAGACAACAAACAATAAACAGAAACAGGTAATGAGGTAAAAGGCAATAGTGCTTTAGAAAAAATTGGAGTGGGCCAAGAGACATCAGGAGTGCTGGGAAAGAGGTTGCAATTTTAAAAGGGAGAAAGGTAGGCCTCATTGAAAAGGTGATATCTGAGTAAATACTTGAAGGAGGTTAAGGAGTGAGCCTTGAGAATACATGGGGCACAAACATTCCAGATAGTGACAATGACCAATGTAAAGGCCTTAAGGCAGGATTGTGCCTGGTGTTTTTGTGAAAAGGAAGCAGAGTCTAACATGGTTAGAACAAAGTGAGCACAGGAGAGAGTATTAGATATTGAGATCAGATAGGTAAGGAAAGCTAACAGACTATGTAGGGTCCTGCACGCCACGGAAAAGATTTTGACCTTTATTTAGATGCAGAGCTATTTTTTAAAAAATTTTTGTAAATAGATACAATAACTTTATTTATTTTTATGTGGTGCTGAGGATCAAACCCCGTGCCTCACACATGCTAGGCAAGTACTCTACCACTGACCACAACCCCAGCCCCCAGAGCTATTTTTTGAGTAGAGTTGCAGCATGAACTGACTTGTGTTTTTAAATGATTCCTCTGCCTGCTTTGTTGATAGAAAACTGTAAGGAAGTCTGGAAGCAGAAATCACAAGGGATTCCTCACCCTCTTTTCCTTGACCTTTTTCTCTCTGTTGATTCTATTTCCATATCTCCACATATTCCCCCTGACTTAGTAGCTACTCCTTCTTCCCCAGCACCCAAATGTTAGAGGACCCTAGACCCAATCTGAGACTTTTCTTGTATGCAGCTCCAATCTCTGAATGATGTCATGCAAATCTGGCTCTTAAGACCATTTCTTTGCCAATGATCACAAACTTAGAGCTCCAGCCCTGAGCTCATCATACTCATATAGCTAGCAGTTCCTTGCTATCCAAACCAGAGCTCTTCATTTCTTTCCAACTTTTCTTCTCCCAGCCCACGCCTTCAAACCCCAATAGATGGCATTTGCTCAAGCCAAAAAACAACCATTCTTTTTTTTATTGGTTGTTCAAAACATTACAAAGCTCTTGACATATCATATTTCATACATTTGATTCAAGTGGGTTATGAACTCCCATTTTTACCCCGTATACAGATTGCAGAATCACTTCAGTTACACATCCACGTTTCTACATATTGCGATACTAGTGACTGTTGTATTCTGCTATCTTTCCTATCCTCTACTATCCCCCCTCCCCTCCCATCTTCTCTCTCTACCCCATATACTGAAATTCATTTCTCTCCTTTTTTTTTCCCTTTCCCCTCACATCCTCTTATATGTAATTTTGTATAACAATGAGGGTCTCCTTCCATTTCCATGTAATTTCCCTTCTCTCTCCCTTTCCCTCCCACCTCTCGTCCCTGTTTAATGTTAATCTTTTTCTCATGCTCTTCCTCCCTGCTTTGTTTTTAGTTGCTCTCCTTATATCAAAGAAGACATTTGGCATTTGTTTTTTAGGGATTGGCTAGCTTCACTTAGCATAATCTGCTCTAATGCCATCCATTTCCCTGCAAATTCCATGATTTTGTCGTGTTTTAGTGCTGAGTAATACTCCATTGTGTATAAATGCCACATTTTTAAAATCCATTCATCTATTGAAGGGCATCTAAGTTGGTTCCACAGTCTGTCTAGCTATTGTGAATTGTGCTGCTATGAACATCGATGTAGCAGTATCCCTACAGTACGCTCTTTTAAGGTCTTCAGGGAATAGTCCGAGAAG